GGCATACACAGTTGAATTGGAAGCGGAACTGAACCAGTTAAGAGAGGAGAATGCACACCTTAAACAGGCGCTGGTAATGACATGGGAAACATTTTGATGCGTCAAAGCTTTCTGCCTTCTTTTGTTTCTTGTAATTATTTGCTCTTGCTGATCGGGTTAACATGAACAGGCAGAGCTCGAGAGGAAACGAAAGCAACAGGTAATTCTTGCAGTTAATTTCTCATTGTAGCACTTAGCAATGGAACAAATGCTTTCTAATATCTTCGAGGTCTGTATTTGGAGTAGAATGTTATGTTTGATAGCGATTTTGATTCACAATCTTGCAAAATAATAATACTATTTTCGTATATGTTTGTGCGTGACTGCACATTTAATAATAGGCCTATGTTCTGTAAAAGATGCTATTGATCACATTATGCATCTCTACTTTGCAAACTGCAGATTCACAAACCGCACGATTATGCATCCTTAAATCTTTTATCTAATTGAGATGGTTTTGCAGTACTTTGACGAAATGCAAACGAGAGTTCAGAGCAGGGCCCAGAAAGCTAAGGAGAAGCTGCGAGTGTTGAGGAGGTGTCATAGTTGCCCTTTATGATATGCAAGACAGAGAGTTGGTAAATTCATTCGAGCTTTGTATTTCAAGTTGCCTTTGGACATCTTCTGCCTTTTTCCCAATCAATATGTTATATTTCTCTACTTAACAAGTTCTTCCATGCAGATCATTGAGGAACAGAATTGGCAGCTCCCACCAAGAGGATTGAAACTGTGCAAGCTAACCCCAATGCTGAAATGGCTACAAGGTGGAGCAAATGATTGAGTGATCAACACCAACGTAAATGACCATGAGAATATGGATCGTTGAAAAAAAGTTGAAATCTGTAAAATCTAGTAGAAGAATATTAAATTTGAGATGCGGGTTATTGTTCTTGTAAGTTATGTATTAGGCTTAATGGTATGTGTTGTATTCAACTTACATGTCTTCTAGAATAATTGACGTTATTAGCATAAGCTAAAATTCTTTGGAACTCCTACCCCAAACCAGTCTAGCACAAATGCAAGACTTACATTTTCTAAAGTCGAAATGGTGAGAACCATGCCCCTTGACATGTCGTCTCGTCTCTTGAGCTTAACGCGCATTCAAGTCTACTCTGATATCATATAGGCTTAGAGCAAAGGTTTTAACTAAATAGAAAGTAGTCTACAATGATTTGCAATCTTATTTTAATTAAATAGCAAGTAATCATCATTGATTTGCAATCTTTATACTTGTGTTCGCAAGGTGCAAGGTTGGCCTGGTCATGTTCATCAAGTCAGACTGGACATAGTACTCAGTGTGAGTTGACTGGTCAAGCGTTGACTGAAAAAAGAAAGTTTCCCATTGCATAAAACTAAAAGGACAAGTTACATTTTAGAAGCTTGAGATTTTTACGTGTTCTATTTTGGGGCTTTTCAGGATAAGGTACCTTCACACCTAAATTGTATGGTCGGCCTCAAAACTAGCTACTCTTAAAACTTGCATCAACTAAAACGGGATGCATGTTTCAAAAATACACATATATTACGTGTACTTACTAACTATGCACATTCATATATACCTCTGATATGCACAATCTCTGGTTAACCGGCCTTCTTTTTCTTGGTGGTTAAAAATTCTGAATCTAAATCCAGGTTTGGTTTGAGGGCTGGTGTTCGAGCGCAACGCGCGAAAAGAAAAAGAAAAAAAGAAAAGAAAAAACAAAATAAAAGAATTGTCTTGGACTTGGTTTAGCATTATATTCATCAAAACATCTCTAGATCTCTATTCAACCATGAGTTCGAAAAAATGTTGCTGTTGTTGCTGCCTCCTTCTCTTATTATTTTTCATCGTGGGCTTGATTGTTCTTTTCGTGCTTAAAGAAAAATTAGGGCCGTCGTTAGAAGCGCGCTACAAGGTGACGGATGCCTCATTGAGCCAGTTTAGCATGGGGTCTGGCAACAACCTAGAATACAACCTAGCCGCCAACATGAGTGTTGAAAATCCTAACAAATATTCTGACTACAGATACGAAAAATTTGTAGCTGTTCCCTCCTACGGTGACGAGGACTTAAATGAAGTTTCTTTGAGCTCATTCGAAGTAGCGAAGAAGAACACATCTGCATTGACACCTCTAGTGTTCAAAGGGCAGAAATCGGTGTCTCTTAAGGGTGATGCAGCATCCAACCTTAAGAGTGGTTCGGTTTTCGAAATCATTTTGAAGATCAAGGTTAAGGTTATGAGCAGAGCTGGTAAGGTTGAAATTTACAACGAGTACAAGGAAGAATGCAAATTGAAGGTTCCTTTGTTGGATTCCAAGGGAAAAGCTTCTGAAAAATTTGAGAGTACAGATTGCAAAAAGGTTCGGTTTAGCTTACAGAAAGCATATGAATGGATGGCCGTGATATGAAAGCATATAGAATGCAATATTGACACTTAATTACTTTATTTGAATGGTATTTGTTTGCAAGCATTTTCAACAAAAGTTGTCTTGTCTTGTGAAGATATCCTGAGTCTAGAAACCTTGATTGAAACCCTGCACTGGCTAGAAAAAGAAATTTCCTTTAGGGTTAGCTTGAAATTAGACCTTTGAAGTAATTAATCAAATATATGCTTTTTTGTGTGGAATTCAAACCTTTATTTAACTTTAAGTATAATCTCATCTCTGCGCAGGTTGGAAGCACTAGTTCGGGGATAAAGGTGTGATTTGTACATTTGAGTCATCTCAAGACCTCGTGGAAGGTAACCCAAATCAATGTTCTAAAGCAAACAAGAACATTTTATATAGTTTTTTCAGTTTATAGTAGGTTATATGAATATGATTTTGCAATATATCTCTATCTTGAACGGTTTATATTAGCTTGTTGGATTTCATTTAAACCGCCGTTAAGTACATTTAAACCATCATTAAGTACATTTAAACCGTCGTTAAGTAATAACTAACTTTTCGTCCTAGTGCTTGTATATATTGTAGTAGAAAACAATTGTGTACATGATGGAAAGTAATAACAGAAATCAATGCCTATTTTGATGCAGATTATTGGGCAGGGGATTTTTAGAACACGGTCTACAGGAGGTTTTGTGATCTTTCTGGGGTTCCAATAAAATAAGTTGAGGGCTAAAAGGAAGCAAAGTTATAGTGGCGAGGTCTTCCACTGAGGTAGAATAGGTGCTGAGTCTTATTATTACCAACCACAACAGCAAAAATGAGTGCAATCTGCACGTGTTTCTTCCTCAACAAGTTTTCATGGCTCTGGTTAAGCATATATAGAGATTAGATTATCATTTATTACGTAAAAAAAGTTATTCGCAAGGAGGCTCATCTTGTGTTGGTTGCCACTCAGTTTGTATGGCGTAGGGACTTATGGTGGTCTCTTCCTCCATCAGACTTATGTACTTAAGAATCGTTCTCTTCTGATGATGAGTGTAGGAACATTACTTTTCTCTATAAAGTTTTTAATTATACAAGCGATAGTCTAAATTAATCTAATCTACGGGGAGGGGGATTCGAACTCGGAGGCAAGAAAATGGACATTCCCCTAACCAAGGGCGGAACAAGAAGTGGCTAGCTAAAGCTATTAGCTTAAAATATAAGGATTTTTTGTTTTTTTTTGTTTTTGTTTTGGTACTTATAATATTTATAATTTTTTTAGAAATAAAATTATATATTAAATCATATAAACCAAGCTAATTAGAAACACATAAAAAAAAAAAAAAGATTTAGAGCCGTATCATTCGCAAAATGGTGAATTTCATTTAGAAAAATGCTTCTTGTTTGATGACCGGAGACAAATAAATGAAAAAGGTTAAAATGGGAGAGTTGGGGCTAGAGACTTTACCCTTACTTAATTGGTGTTGAGACAATCTTTGACACCAAATACAAACGTGGAACAATCTTTGACATCAACTACAAACGTAGAAGACCTCTAAACCAAAAATTACTCCTAACTATGTGTATTAGTGTTGGCAAGAAATGAAATTGTGTATTTTTATTTACAGGTTCACATACTAGGCTGTATAGGTTTGATTTATTTTTTCCCCCAAAAATCTCCCCGAGCTACAGCCCACCGGAGTCCACAATGTGGTTCCGCCCAAGCCCCTAACCAACTGACCTAAACCCAATTTTATAATGTTTCTAAACATTTAAGCACGTCATCAAATATAACATCCAAGTTGAAGCATCTGAAGAAATGTTTGATCGGGCCTAAACTCTTGCTCAATGCCCTATTGTAACAACCCGATTCTTAACTAATTTTTAATTTTTAATTTATTTTGAGAAAAGACAATTTTGCCCTTATAATAAATTATTAGAGAAAATGTCACTTTCTCTAATAATTTATTATAGGGGCAAAATTGTCTTTTCTCAGAATAAATTAATAATTAAAAATTAATTAAGAATCGGGTTGTTACACCTATCCTACAAATGAGTCAGATAGACAAAGAGTGGTTGCGTTTCCAAAACTTTCAGTAAGTTTGCTAGTTTTTCTATGCCCAAGATAATGTTTTGGAAGTTCCCATTGGCAGATCTCACGAAATTACTCCTAAAATGCGTTGATGTGGTGTAGTAATATGATTAAAAAGGAAAAGTTTGAAATGGGCAACATATTCATTTTATATATTTATCAATGAGTGAGAGAAATTCAAATAATCGGGATCTAACATTGAAAATACTACTAGACCAAGACGTAGACGTACTAGCATTTAAATTAATGTGCAACTTCATTTTTTTTAATCAACCAACAGCCATTTAAATTGACTATTTCATAAACGTCACAATTGTAAAAGATTTTCTTCAAATCTTATCTGGAGCTTGCCCCTCATTGTCAACGATACCTAAGTCAATGACATTGGAAGTTAACAGGAAGCATGTACGTACCTTCATTGTCAATGCGGCCGACCATTGGAAGTTCACAAGTAACTTCGATATTTTATGATTTAAATCATTCACAAGTATATGACAAGATCCAATCATTCTTCTCAGCGTATTAATCTCCTCTTTATTCTCAGCTAGCAGCAGCCATGCGTATTGGAAGGCAAAGCCGCTGGTGCAACTTCTCTTGCTTCTTCTGGATCTTGTACTACTCCATCCTCGCCGTCATTCTTTTCATTGTCGCCGTCACCATCTTCTGGTTGATCTTTCAACCTCAGGAGCTCAAATTCACCGTCACCGATGCCTCGCTGACCCAATTCAATCTCACCAACACCAACACCAACAACAACACTCTATACTACAACCTCGCTCTCAACGTATCCATAAGAAACCCTAACAAAAAGGCCGGTGTATATTACAATCGGATCCAAGCCATTGGCAACTATGGGAAAAAGAGGTTTGCATTGGTCAACACCACTTCCACTCCATTTTACCAAGGCCACAAGAACACAACCATGGTGCGTTTTGTGCTTCAAGGGAAGCAAGTGGTGGTGCTTGAGGGAAAGGAGCTTTCTCGGTTTAACTCGGAAACAAGTGCTAGGGTTTACAATATTGATGTGAAGCTGGCTCCACGGATAAAGGCTAGGTATGGTAAGATCAAGACTGCCTACTTCAAGCCCCCAAAGGTGGACTGTCAACTCAAACTTCCTTTGAGTATTATTTATAACAATGGAACTTCTGTAGGTCCTAAGTTTGTTTCCAAGGAGTGTGGGAGTGTCAAAATCTTTACAATCTCCGTGGGGATTGGGATTGGTCCTTTTAGTTTTGAAACAGGCTGAGGAGTATAAGGGATGCCCTTCAATGATATATCTTGAACATTTTTACTGTGAAATAATCCTCTCAGTTTGAGTTTAGTAATGGAAATTATGTAGCTAAAAGAAGAGTAAAGGTTTATTACAAGCTTCAATTAATTAATACCATTGTCTATTTGTTGAAATTAAAATTGATGATGACATTGTGGATACAAAAATGTGTGTTCCCACACATAACCTCTTTCTATTTTAGTTTATACATTAGAATTTGTTGATTATGCCATACAACTGCTTGTCTACTATCGGCAACACTATCCCTCTTTACATGGGAGAGTAATTAAGTGAATGCGTGTTATAGCTAAATGTTGAAATCCACAATGAACTCAATTTGCCCTTTAATTTTTCGGCAATAATTTTCACTTGAACTAATAACAACATCTAATTTCACCCTTACATTCAAATGTCATTACATTTCATCTAATTTGCTCTTTAAAACGAGATATGTATAAAAAAATAACACGCAGCTATTACATGTGTATTTTCTATAAAACGGGATATGCATCTAGACACATTGAATCATTTCACCATTTTAGATTTACATATCAGATTCTTGTATTGATTTCTTGAAGAAATTGATATTTTCTTTTCAAAATCTACATTCCATCATATCATTCTCGACGTGTGTTGTGCTGTTAGTGCCATGAGGTAAAAGAGCTCAAGAAGGATGCTGCCACTTTCATGAAAGACTAGCTGCAAAATTTTGACTTGGAGAATAAGACTGCTTAGGAAGTTATAGCTTGTACCTGTTTTCCTTTGTAACTTTCTTTCTCTATTAGTGGATTGTCTTGTCAAATGATGACCCCCAGTTTTTTCAAATGATGGGTTTCTCAGTGAACATGTGTGTTACTCTGTTTGGTTGCCTAGTCATACTATATATGTGTCACACCCCAATTTTTATTTTATTTTATAGAAGTGTGAGGTACAAGAAAAACTAGAACTAAAATTTAAGTAACAAGAAACATGAAAACTGAATAGAAACTTTTATTTAAACCAAAGTAATTTACATCGTAATTTTACAACTAAAATAACAGGAAAGAAACTCTCTCTTAACTTATTTTTCTACAACAAGAAGTCCAAAACTATCTACAACTCGTCCTTCTTGTTTCAAGTCACAAACTAAACCTTAGATCCAAAACCTGCAATAGATTTAATAAGGGGCGAGCACTACAAGCTCAGTAGGGGTCCTATGTCTTACGTGATTAGTGAGAATTACAATATGTAAATTATGCAATGCATGAATGAACTTCAATTCTACCCAACCCGCTAATCTATATTATAGAGCAAGCAAATCTGCATGTCCCATATCATGTATTTTACCACTGTGATTCCGAATGGCCTTTTTGTTGGTAAAATATAAAGATAATTGCTATATTTATAGAATTTCAAAAATAAAACTTCACTATGAATTCTAAATAAATACAAGGAAAATAACAACAAGGTAAATGTTATGAATACTTTACAGATGATCGAGTCTAGAACTTGGTTCTATCTCCTTAAGACGAAATTGCCTCCTCACATGTGCTTTTAGGATTTGCTTGGCAAACGTCTCCCAGGATACAACGATCGATTTCTATTGAAGTAGCACTACAATTCCCAAGAAAAGCGAACTCAAACTTGTGCATGAATTCTCTCTTATTAACTCACTATATTTCTAAAAATATATTAATGCTCTAAAAACTCCTATTGTTGGATGACAATTGGATGAATGAAATGTTGCAGGATCTTCTCTATTTATAGGCAATAAGGCCTTTGTTCAGAAAAGATGTGACTAAAAAATATCAACAAATGTGTCTTTTCATGTTGTGAAACAATGCAACTTATCACATAAAGTATTATTATTTTACAAATAAAATAAATAATATTTTATTTTTCCTCTGTTAAGAACATGACTATTCCCAATGAATACATAACAAAAAGTCATGTACTTAAAGTCACGAGTCCCATAATTTAATTTCCATTCAATTATTAAAAAATTAAATATAAATATTATAATTTTCTAACACTATTACATAAACTAACACCCGTAACACTCCCAATTTCATATTCCCCTTTTGATATTCATCTTGTCTAAACCATCAATCTCCAAGCCCAAATCAAGGTAGCCACCAAATAACTGACAACGAGTTGATCCTGTTGAAACCAGAGAAGATAGTCAAAATTTGGGAGCAGGAACAGTAGAGTCAGAGACAATGAGAGTCTTAGTAGGGGCAGAGGTGGAGCCATCCACATATTTGATTGAGTAGCCCATGACCAATGAGAAAGGGGCGAAGTTGAGCAGTCCAGAGAAGATATATAATTGGATTCAGTAAGCTTGATGAAATTAGCCAAGGTTGGGCCAGGGAGGGAGGAAGTCGATGTCGTGGAGGAGGAGGAAGCCGAAGCATTGATGGCCATGGCGAGAGAGGAAGGAACATGTCCGGAGAAGGAAAAGATTTTGTTAGAAAAGGAGAATGGCTAATACCATGTAAACTTTCTATTTTAGATTGATTTGATAAGTGTAATACATGAGAGATTTATACATAGTTGATAACCCTAGTAGAGATATATACAAGGAAACTGAATCAGCAATACAAGGAAGGTAAATCAATATTAACACATATACAAATATGGAATGAGAATTCTTATAAGGGAGGAAGGACTAATGACCATGAGTTAATTGCATGATAATATAGTGGGATTCAAAGCCATATTGTCCTAGGAATATCAAGAATCCTTATAAAAAATTAGACAAATCGGAAACTGTTTCGACATCCAATTGTATCTTACAAAATCAATGAACACGGTGCTTCATGAAAGTACTAAAATTTCAATAACTCAATTGAGTAGTCAAATAATATCGGATTCAAGTGATTTTTTGTAGAGATGATCTTTGAATGAGTATCTACAAAATAGACGGTTTTGATTAGTGAAATACAATCCGGAGTAGGGCCTATAAGGGGCGTCCCTCAAATAAGCTTATTTGAGAAATCCCTTAATGGAAGCTCTCTCTCTCTCTCTCTCTCTCTCTCTCTCTATATATATATATATATATATATTATTTAATTATATATATCTCCTTTCTTGTTTCCATATCTTAGCTATGCATTAATTCAGGGCCCAAGTCAATATGATATGACTTTGGAATTTACTTTGTTTCCAATGATCACGACTCTTATCATTTGGCAGGAAAAAGAAAAAAGAAAAAGAGATCACTCATATCACGTTGGGATGTTCGCAAGGGATAATTACTTCGGAGTTTCTGAGTGTTGGTCGCCTAGTATTGTTTTAAACATCAAACCTTTTAGGTGTATTATGTCAAACACACACATATGATTTTGCTGTTTAACTCTCACCATGCTCGGAAGTAGGCACAGCCGTGACTGGTGTTTCAAGTGCTACTTCTGCCTCGTGGCCTACGCCACCCTCATCTTCTTCATCTTCACCATCTCCGTTTTCATCTTCTGGCTGATCTTTCTTCCCCAAGAGCTCAAATTCACCGTTACCGACGCCTCACTCAGAAAATTCGATCTCACTAACACCACCCCAAACACTACTCTCTATTACAACCTTGCGCTCAACATCTCTATAGGAAACCACAACAAAAAGGTTGGTGTATACCTCAGTCACATCCAGGCCATGGCCAACTACGGAGATAAGAGTTTTGCCACGGTGAACAACATTTCGACTTCTTTCTACCAAGGCCACAAGAGCATAAGTACGGTACGTGCTGTGTTTGAAGGACATCAAGTTGTGGTGCTTGAGGAATTGGAGCTTTCCAGGTTCAACTCGGAAAGATGTGCTGGGGTTTACAATATTGATGTAAAGTTGGGTCTTTGGGTAAAGGCTAGGTATGGGAAGATCGAGACTGGCTGTATAAGTCCCCCCAGTATCGATTGCCAGCTGAAAATCCCTTTGAGTAGTTCTCCTAATGCAAGATATGTGGGTGCTAATTTTAGCGTCACCGATTGTGGGGGTGTCGCCCTCCCACTCCTTGTACCTTATAGCGCTTGTAATCAAAATAAATAAAAATTACATTGATCGCATTTTCACTTAAGACCATGTACTTTTGGAGTTTACACGAACCCCCTTGAGGGTTTTAAAGTGGTTGCAAATTAAAGTCTCCATGAAGATTTCGTCATAAATTTACTGACAAATCCAAAAGTTTGACAAGCAAGTGCGGACCATACTCAGCTTGAGGGCTTGACAGAAAAATGTAACAATTTTTCCATTGATGATGACCAGGTCTCTACACAATATGAGTTTATTGAAACAATAGGAAAAAAATTATTCTTAACAAAGAAGTATATATGATATGATGCTTACATAAAGAATTAATTCTTAGCTTACTTGCCGTTTTCCCTTCCATCTAGCATCTCTTACACGTTATTACATATAATATTTGTTGATCGGAAATGCTTTTGTTCACCACTTTAACACAAAGTGTACCTTCATCACAATTCTCAAGACTTGACACGTGTTCATTAGCATATCCATAATTAACTATTTACTTTGTATTTATGGAATCATGGTTATGTCAATGGACACGTATCAAGTGTTGAGAATGATAGTGAATGTACACTTTGGTTAAAGTGGTGAATGCTCCCTTGTTGATCAAGGCTCTATATGAAATTAGTATATTTGCAGCTCACCGTGTACATGTAGACCTCCTTTGATAAACATAAATACTTCCCTGTTCGCTAAAAAAATAAGGAACATTTCAACATCGTTGGCATCTTCGCATCTTCTTATGCTTAATTAATAACCACGATATGATACTGAAGTCAACTAGTTGGAAGCTTCCGAGAAGTACTTCCTTCAATAACGTCCTTAATCTGGCGTTTGACTTTGAACTGTTCCCGATCCTTTATAATTCTCTGCCAATAGAGAGAAGCCTATACATATAAACTTCCCATGCCCATAGGCACACTTGATCTTTCACACCATTAAATCCAGCTGAATTTTTTTCTTCTCAACCATGTTTGGAAGGAGTGGCCTCTGTTGCTTTTGCTTTTGCTTGTGTTACATCACCTACTTCTTATTCTTCCTAGCCTTCTTCATATTCTGGTCGATCTTCCTTCCCCAAGAGCCCAAATTCACCATCACCAATGCCTCTCTCACCCAATTCAATCTCACCAACACCATCATCAACAACAACACTCTCCACTACAACCTCACCCTTGAGATCACCATCAGAAACCCTAACAAAAAAGTCGGCTTATACTACCGCCGAATCCTAGTCGTTGCTAACTACAGAAAGAAGAGGTTTGCTTTGGTGAGGTTGAATTCGACGCCGTTTTACCAAGGCCACAAGAACACCACCATTGTGAATGCAAATCTTGAAGGGCAGCAGTTGATGAGATATAAGGAACGTGACATTTCCAACTTTAACTCGGAGACTGCAAATGGGGTTTATAGCATTGATGTGAAGATTGCTCTTCGTATAGGAATCAGATTCGGCAAGGTGAAGACGGGTTACTTCAAGATTCCAAGGAAGAGCGACTGCAAGCTGAAGGTTCCTTTGAGCACTTCATTTAATGGAACATTTTGGAGTGGTTTCCAGACCACCGAGTGTAAGAGTTTTCATATCTTTGGTGACCCTGATGCTGCCTAGCAGATTTTATTATGTTTTTTACTCCCATGTCTAAATAGTTTGACAAAGCCACTTCCCTTGTTATTGTTATATGTAACATTCAGGACTTGACATATGTTTCATATTCCAAAGTCGAAACTAAGATAAGGTGCCAGCCTCAAAACTGACTATTTTTAAACTCACATAAACTAAAACGGGAATACTTACAAGATAAATACACATTTTATACGTGTCTTTACTAACAATGCAGAGTCTCTACGCCTTATATATACTTGTAACTTGTAACCCTACCATATTTCCCTATACCTCAACAATCTCACACTCTTGTTAATTAGAAATATTATGAATCATATTCATTTGAAAATCTGTTTGTCCCCCACCCCTTCTCTGTCTTTCTCTCTCAACCATCCTTGTTGTAATACTTGGTGCCCTCAGCGGCACTGGTTGGTTCGTTATCCGGCAATTCAGACCCTTGAAATCGGTCATCTACAAGGTCACCGATGCCTCGCTGACCTGATTCAACCTGACTGCGGCCAACAACACCATCCAATACAATCTATCCCTCAACATGACTGTTGAAAACCGAAACAAATGGAATGACTTCCACTACGAAAATTTTGAAGCCGTTGCTAGTTATAAGAACCAGGATTTGAATAATAGTAGCTTGGCCCCCTTCCTCGTAGGGCACAAGAATTCGTTTGTATTGACTCCATCGTTCGAGGGGCAACGACTGGTGGCTCTTTCGAATGATGAGGTTTCGAATTTTAGGAATTCTACAGTTTTCGATATCGTTTTGAAGCTCTATTTTAAGTATTGGACCAAGATTGGTGCGGTCAAGATTAACAAGGAGCTCCAAATGGCTTGCTATTTCAAGGTTCCATTGAGTTCTGGCGGAAAATCAGCTGAAAAATTTGATAGCACCAAGTGTGATAAGGCTTAAATTTGTTTCATGTACGTAGTTTAGAGTTAGATTATATTTTTGTATAATTTTTCTCTCTCTTTCAAATTTTGTTTCAATGTTCATTTGATGACTTTATTTTCTGGTTTACTTTCAAATTAATAATCCCAATCCAGATCTAAGGAACCTTTACTTCAAAATAGCGGCTTTCTTATATATGTATCATAACAGAATAACGTAGAATTACTAATTCATTCAAATTAAAACACGTACAATTATTAAACCCAGCATAATATTTCAATGATTATGCACGTATTATAATTTGAGTGGATTTGTAATACTAAGTCGGCGTGTCACGTATTGTTTTCACATAGTAATTTTTTTCAGTTTTGGACATGTTTAATCAGTTTAAATCCTTCCTAACAATTTTAGCCTGAATCAATTTGTAGTTTTGTACATGTAACCCTACACGCAGAATCAACCAAAGAAAAATGAATATTTCCATACATAAACATGCAAATTTAAAAGAATTTGGTTACGTGTTTGTGGCCATTGGTTGGAGATGGATCATTCAAGGTAACCCGAGTGCAACTATCCGGATAAAAGTGATCCATTTTAAAGACTCAGCTCGCAATCTCAAGGCGGCACCGACTTCAATAAGATTTTGGCATTCCGCTATTACTTTCCTTCATTAAGCAACCAACCAAAATGCTTCTTCTATGCAGCCTCCCTTGTCTTTTTTTTTTTTTTTTTGGTCTGAATCCTCCCTTGTCTTTTTAAAATCCAATAAACTCACACCTTTGTGAATTTTGATAGGTGCGAAGGAGTTCAATTCTATTGGTTAGTAATATAATTTACAAATCCTATCTTTATGTTATTAATTTTTTTTTTAAATAAAAAAAAAAAGAAAAAGGCAAGATTGGGAGATGGGAGAATTGAACCTAGAACTTCGGGTATATGAGTACATGCTCTTAACGACTTGAGCTATAAACCCTTTTTTTGTGTTATTATCTTTAATACACAATTATTGTAAGGTAATATCACATTTTGAGAAAATGTCAAAGAGTTTTATGTGACCGTAGACTTTTATTGAAGAAGATAGTTTAGATACCGTTAACTACATCTAAAAGCCTTTTTCTTGTCTGAAGGTTTCTCGTGTCCATATAATTCGGCAAAAGTAATTCTTAAGATTTTTCTGTTAATTAACATGTAAAATGCCGCTATAATTACATGAACGCGAAATATTAAATGAAATTAGGAAAACAAATTACAACTAGTAATTCTAAAATGATGTAGAATAGATGGTGGAAGCAATTGAAGATGAGTTGGAGAGACGCACGCGCAAGGGCAAACTTGGAAAGCTGCAAGTTTGGGCCCTAAGATTAGTTTTGGACCCATGACCCGAGATCGTTTAACAGCCCAAAATCCATTTTTTATGCTTTATCAGTTTTTGGAAACTTTGTTATTTTCCTATTTTAATCCTTGTTTATTCCTAGGGTATTTAAACAACTTTAAACCTGTGGTTAAGGTTATGTTATGTTATTCCATATTATCAATGAACTTGAAGTTCCCTTATTTCTTTCTCATGGATGTTTTAGGCTAAAGCTTAGCCATCCAATTATCATGATGTGTCATAAAATCTCATGGCATGAGATTTTTCACATTCGACTTTTCTTCTTGCATTAATTACAAATCACAATCAAAACTAAGTTGTGCGGCACTCCTCAAAACATGATGTTCTTAAATTTACGTACACTAGATTAACACGGGATAATATTTTAAAATACACGTATAATACATGTATTTACTAAGTATGCACATTCTATATCCCTTATAAATCATTCAACGGCGCCATATTCGGCGTTTGTACCCTATATGTACCCTTCATTTTAATACCTTAGCAATCTCGCATTCAAGTTGCCATCCCTCTTTTGTCTTGGTGGTAGAGAAAATCCACATCAAGATCAAAAGTTTTAAGGGTTGGTGCTCGTGTTGCAAAACTAGAAAGAAAATAATCTTGCACTCTTCATTACAAAATCTCATTGCCCCCCTCCTCCTAAATCTCTATCAACCATGGCTTGGAACTGGAAAAAATGTTGCTGCTGTTGCTGCGTTCTCATAATCGTATTTTTCATTGCCATCCTCACTGCCACGCTCGTCATTCGCGAATACAGCCCTCAGCATTCGATCAACTACCAGGTGACCGATGCATCGCTGACCCAATTCAACTTGACGACCAATAAAATCCTCCAGTTCAATCTAGCCACCACCATAAATGTTGAAAACCCTAACAAGAGGTCTGATTTCCACTATGAGAAGTTTGAAGCCGTCGCTTCTTACAAAAGCCAGGATTTGAAAAATACTAACGTCGACCCGTTCGAGGTAGAACACAAAGGTAAGCATCCTTTGAAAGCAGTGTTCAAGGGGGAGCAATCGGTGTCTCTTCTGGATGATGAGGTTTCAAAGTTTAAGGCCACCACGGTTTTTGATATCGTTATCAAGTTGAATGTCAAGCATTGGGCCAAGTATACTACATTCAAGATTACTGACGAGATGAAGATGAAATGCAACTTGAAGGTTCCTTTAAATTCCAACGGAAAATCTACTGAAAAATTTGAGGTTGCTAAGTGTGATAAGGAATAAATTTTTCATGGGTAATGTACGTGGTTGGTTGTGTAAGATGGGGATTGTGTTTTTTGTTTCTCAAATTAATTCATAAATGAAATTTTTTTTGTTTTCTTTTAGATTCATATGCTAGCTAGGATTCGATGCATTACATTGATATGATTATGCGCATGCGTGTGTCAAGAGTCTTTTTTTTACTACATCCGTTGACAAAAGAAAAAATGTGTTTGAAAAACAATACGATGCTAAAATAATTAGTCACCATTAACGCACGAGGATATTCATACATGTATACTTTCATTTTAGTATAGGCTCTGTCGAATTCCTATATTTAGTAGTTGCAGCCTCCTCTCCTCGATACAATCACATAAAAATCGTCCTATATTTCAGTTCATTGGCATCTTCAGTTGCATGTTTCCTCAAGTTTGTAGTTTTTGCTATGGACTAAGAGGAAAAAACTAAAATAATAAACATTAATATTTTTTATTAAAAATAATATTTTAATAAAATAACTATATTTTATAAAAAAATTATAAAGAAAAAACCAAAGCTTCCACTACCTCCCCCAATGCAGCCCCTTTCCAACCCTATTTTGCAAGAGCTCGGCTACCCATTAAATTTGATTGCATCACCATCCAATTTGATCTCTGTCGCTAGTTTGGTTATGGGTTTTTGTTATTCTCGATTTTCTAGCAGAACGTGAAAGATGATTGTTCTTGAGTACAACACATTAATCAATATTTGTCTTTGCAAGAATGGGTTTTTTCAATTTGTTCGAAATTTATTCTTCAGCGTTTTAAAACTTGGGTTTAAGTTGGATTCTTACTTCTTCGGTGTTGGTAATTGTAGAGATATAATATTCGATTCTGAATCTGGCTTTGGCAAAGAGGAAAAGGGAGAGAGGTCGAGAAGTTAAGAGTGTTAAGGATGATGAGGTTTCAAAGTTTAAGGCCACCACGGTTTTTGATATCGTTATCAAGTTGAATGTCAAGCATTGGGCCAAGTATACTACATTCAAGATTACTGACGAGATGAAGATGAAATGCAACTTGAAGGTTCCTTTAAATTCCAACGGAAAATCTACTGAAAAATTTGAGGTTGCTAAGTGTGATAAGGAATAAATTTTTCATGGGTAATGTACGTGGTTGGTTGTGTAAGATGGGGATTGTGTTTTTTGTTTCTCAAATTAATTCATAAATGAAATTTTTTTTGTTTTCTTTTAGATTCATATGCTAGCTAGGATTCGATGCATTACATTGATATGATTATGCGCATGCGTGTGTCAAGAGTCTTTTTTTTACTACATCCGTTGACAAAAGAAAAAATGTGTTTGAAAAACAATACGATGCTAAAATAATTAGTCACCATTAACGCACGAGGATATTCATACATGTATACTTTCATTTTAGTATAGGCTCTGTCGAATTCCTATATTTAGTAGTTGCAGCCTCCTCTCCTCGATACAATCACATAAAAATCGTCCTATATTTCAGTTCATTGGCATCTTCAGTTGCATGTTTCCTCAAGTTTGTAGTTTTTGCTATGGACTAAGAGGAAAAAACTAAAATAATAAACATTAATATTTTTTATTAAAAATAATATTTTAATAAAATAACTATATTTTATAAAAAAATTATAAAGAAAAAACCAAAGCTTCCACTACCTCCCCCAATGCAGCCCCTTTCCAACCCTATTTTGCAAGAGCTCGGCTACCCATTAAATTTGATTGCATCACCATCCAATTTGATCTCTGTCGCTAGTTTGGTTATGGGTTTTTGTTATTCTCGATTTTCTAGCAGAACGTGAAAGATGATTGTTCTTGAGTACAACACATTAATCAATATTTGTCTTTGCAAGAATGGGTTTTTTCAATTTGTTCGAAATTTATTCTTCAGCGTTTTAAAACTTGGGTTTAAGTTGGATTCTTACTTCTTCGGTGTTGGTAATTGTAGAGATATAATATTCGATTCTGAATCTGGCTTTGGCAAAGAGGAAAAGGGAGAGAGGTCGAGAAGTTAAGAGTGTTAAATTGGGGGTTAAGTAAATGGAACCAAAAAAAAAAAAAAAAAATGGAACAAATAGATAAGGGTTTCCTAAGTCCTTAGAAGTCATTTTATAAAAGGGTAAATGTGTCTTTAAAATTTTGAAGAAAAAAGAGATGGGAAAATAGGACAATGGTGGAAATAGCAGCACTCGGTGCAAATTGTAAGTTTTAATATAATACAACTATTCTGAGGTGGAATAATTAATCTCCTCTTGATTAATCGAATGACTAAGATTCTTTTAAATGCATATAAGGCCTAGTTTGGGATTGCTGTCACTTTTAAAAAAAGTTGTTTCTGCTGTGCTTTAAAAATAATTAGCTGTAAAGTAAAGCAGCTCCATGTTTGGTAAACACTATTTTTAAAGTGTTGTTAGTACAAAAAGCAGTGTTAAAACCGTTTGGTAAATTTTAATATAAAATTGTTGTAACTGTGAATAATGACTAAAATAGACATGATGTTAAAAGTGTTATGCACTAATCATGTGATGGTAGTGGCGTGTGGTGGTGGTGGTGGCGGTGGTTGTGGAGGTAGTAAATGTGGTGGTGCAAGTGGTGGAGTTGGATGTAAAAGTGGAGGTGGTGTCATTTTTTAAAAATAAATGATGATATTTTGAGAATTAAAAAAATTCATTAAATGTTCATCTCTGCTTCTTTTGAAAGCAGCTTTGAAAAGCAACCCAGAGTCAGCTTTTAAAAGCTGCTGTCAAAAGGCCACTGCTTTTAAAATAATCGGGATATTTTAATTTTACCAAACACCTTAAACTGCTTAACTTTGAAGTTAAGCAGGTTTGTGGCCAAAAAATGCAATCCCAAACGGGGCCTAAATGCATGGATGCTAAATGTGGAGATTTGGGATCCAATAATTTAGGGGAAGGAAGGAGGAGTCTAAATAATCTGTCCCCAAATTGCCTGTGCCCCTCTCTAATTTTGTGACATTTGTTTCTAAACTTAAGAGTGCCTTAACATTGTTAACCCCTATTAAACCATAAAAATTAAATTAACAAAATCACAGTATATTTTAGGGAGTTTCACTAAAACGCCCAAAATGGGGGTTGAAATTATAAAAAAACCCAAGCACTATTTAAACATATAAATACACCCAAAACCCATCATTACACACACTCAAAACCCATTTATAAACACACCCAAAAAGTTGACTTTGAGGTTGATTTTGGATGTGTTTCTATGTTTAAATAGTGCTTGGGTTTTTTTATAAATACATGTTTAGGATTGGATTTATTTAGATCGACACAGCCCCTCCTCTTTCACTTCGCCACTGCCTTCATCTTGCTCCAAATTCTGTCGCCACATCCGACACCATGAATTCTAAGAAAACGCAATGAATTCAAAGACCCTCCCTCATGTTAAACTTCTCCGCTGCATAAATTGCATATGAGCTGAAATGGGTTTTGCCCGATGGATCGGCTCGGCATTCAGATTTGATTCTTTTTTCAGTTTTGAAGAATTCCACCTCCCCTGTTACAATTTTTTTATATGTTTTAATAGGAGTTAAACAGCGTTAAGGTTATGCGCAGTTTAAAGACAGACGTAATTGAATTAGATAGTGGGACAAAGAGGAGACAGGTAATTTGGGGACAGAAGATCTAGACGCAAAAAGGAGAGGCTTGTAGAGAAAGGAAGAATAACAAATAAGAGGAAGAAACACATTAAGTTCGGCGTTTCTTTAGGAAATAATTTTCTTTTTAATTGACATTTTTTTAAAAGGAAATATTTGTATGTTTAATTATGAGAAGATTTGGGGTTTTGATTTAAAGATGATGTAAGCAAAAAGAGTGCAAAAAACGAAAACGAAACTACTTGCCCAAAATACATTTATTTTTTATTTTTATAAAAGCGAAGCTTGTATCCTTGGTGGAGGTAATAGAATAGATCAGAGAGCTCCACAAAGAAAAACAACTATGGCGAGGAGGCCACGCGTGATTGGAATTCCAGAGGGGGCGGTGGCGGATGATACTGATACCAATAGTAGGTCTCTATATGTATGTACCTATGAGTGCAAGACTGGTCATGCTCGTTACGATATTCGCGCCATTAAATTGGGCGATTTATTATACAGATTCAAATCCAAATCCAAGATAGAGTTACTGCGAAAATTGGCTTCTGTGGAGGGCAAGGATGTTCCCTACTTGATGGGTTGCAGTTTGTTGGGCTCCCAAATTCTTCTTGCCGGCGGCCTGGAACCGCGGGACCCGAAGCAGAAGGGGGGGTTTCGATACGGACCACATGGGAGCAAACAAATTTATCTGTTTGTGACAGATGATGATGGGAAAAGAAAGGAGAAAGTAGTTTACAATCACGGTCACAGTCACACTACTAGCGATGAAGGAGAATTTGGGGGGATCATCAAGGGGGACTGCATTTTTATGACTTAGGCGTAGAGGTTTGTTTAATTATTGATTTGAAAGTTTACCATTCGTTTTGAATTCAAGGGTTTCTCTAGTTGATATAAGTCTTTAAACTGATTTTCATTTTATGAATGGGGAAATCTCAGATATATGTCACTTGAATTTATACACAATTTAAATTTGTAACTTTAAAAATACAGATGTATATGTATAATACGCAAAGTTGTTAACTAGTCATCGCCAATAAATACAACAAGGATGTATACGTATACGTATAATATGACATTTAAATAGATAATTATTTGCATTGATTTCTTTTGGGACTAAGGATGGCATCGCCAATAAATACAACAAGGTTTTAGGTATGATCAATGGGGTTTTGATATTGGTTAAAGTCAAGCAACATTGACAAAGTTTCAATAAAAAAGAAAGAAAATGTTTTAAAAAATTAACATGTGTCAAAACCACATTGGTCGTAAGGAAGAGCTCCTCCTCAATTTTACGGAGCCAAGCTTTTTTCTATTCTAAATGTCATGGCTAGATGTTTTTAAAGGATTTAAATTAGATTAAGAAAATCAGTAAGTTCACAATCTAAAAATTTAAGCCCTTGAGTCTAAGTTTCACTTAATAATGCTGAAAATAATAGTAAAGATAACATTAGCAATAGTCTTACCTGGGTAATTTGTATTCTAGAAGTTCATAGAAGCTCCATAGCTCTAGTTGTAAACGGGTTGAGAGTTTGCAGCCATATAGTCCCCGAGTTTGTCGGATGCTAGACGCCTCAATTCCTCTCTGAAGGTTGGAAGATTTTGATGGAGTTTCTTTGGAATTTTAGTTATTTTGGCATGACCGTCGATAATTGAGACAGTATCATTGTTTAGAAATCCATTCATGATACCATCTTCCTCTAGCTGTGCAATGCAATCGATGAGATCCCTATTAAAGACACAATAAAAGTATATGATTTTTTTTGTTCGGAACAATAGAAGTATATGATTAGTTCAATATTTTGACTGTTTTATCATTCTCCACCTTTTGCTTTATATATATAGATAGATGCATGAGCACAAGAACCTAATCCCCAAAATTCTTCAATTCAAGGAGATTTGTAGCAAGAAAAAATCACTATTAACTTTTATACATATATATATATATATATATAATGAGAGTTAACCTCAAATAACAACTGTGAAATAAAATAGAATAAATTTAACTTATATATATGAAAATTTACTTCAGAAATAATCACAATTATCAACTTATTATGTGCCATTACTTTGATATGTTCTGATTATTTGTCATCCTTCCAAAATTACAGTTATGCACATCACATTATTCGTAATTGGACATAATAAAGAAATCACCAACAATAACCCACAAAAATAACAAACCACAAAGATATAATGAGACATAAATTACATGCTTAAGTACTATGCCCCTTAGAAAATTGCAGAATTAGGATTTGGAGACTTACTTGATTGATCGGTTGATCTTGATTCAATAAAACCACAAAGAAAACTAAAAGAGAAAAGGGATTGATCTGTCGCTGTGTTGATGTTTTAGACTTTGTGGTAGAAAAGTGCAAAACAAGCTGAATTAAAAGAGAAAAGGGTAATAAGGTGGTTGGTGTGAGTGGTTCGGCACTCTCATTCCTCAAGAGAAGGTCAGAAAGTAATCTTTTCAGCTCTCTTCTCATTACTTTCTTCTCAAGCCGACATCAAGGCAAATTCTATTTGCTCTCTTCTCATTAGGTTTTTTATATATTCCAATTAAGATTTGGTTTATTTCCTCTTTTGATTAAGTTTTCCTCTATTAATTAGGGCTATGTTTAATTGGTAAAGGTGATATGTAATGGGTTAACGCATATGTAGAAAGGGATACAAAAATAAAATAGGAAACAAAGGGTACAATTGTACAAGATTTTAGTCTACTACACAAATTAGGAAATAAATCTCATCTAATTAACACACGCCAATTTCATTAATTTTTTTTAATTATATAACGCGTGTATATCCTTTGGTGCAGCACAACAGAAGAAATCAGAAAACCTAGAGCTAATATCAGAGAGCTCCAAAAAGAAAAACAATTATGGCGAGGAGGCTACCCGTGATGGGAATTCCAGAGGGGGCGGTGGCGGATGATACTGATGCCAACAATATGTCTCTATATGTATGTACCCACGAGTGCACCACCCATCATGCTCGTTACGATATCCGCGCCATCAGATTGAGCAATTTATCATCCATACTCAAATCCAAATCCAAATCCCAATCCCAATCCAAGTTTACCAAATCAGAGTTGCTGCGAAAATTGGCGTTTATAGAGGGTGATGATGTTCCTTACTTGATGGGTTGCGGTTTGTTCGGCTCCCAAATTCTTCTTGCCGGTGGCCAGAAACCGCCGGGCCCTGAGATGTCGATAGGGTGTCGATACGGACCATATGGGAGCACACAAATTTATCTGTTTGAGACAGATGATGATGATGAGAAAAGAAAGGAGAAAGTTTACAATCACGGTAACCGTTTTGGATCTTCACCGCCCTTCACCCCTCCTCCTCACGATCACACTCACAGTGGGGGTATCATCAAGGGGAACTGCTGCTATGGTAAACTTCGTCAAGTGAAAGCTGAACCATTGGTGGTTGAGGTTGGTGGGAAGCTCTTTGTTCTCTCTGGGGGTCTGCTAGCTTCATCTGAAAGTCCAATTTTTGAGGAGTTCAACCCGTGTGAAGGTAGTTGGACCACTCTGCCGGACCCTCCAGATACGTGGCGTTATACTAGTGAATTTCATTACTTCTCCTGTGCTATTGTGGGCACCAAGATCATGGTGTCCACCCCAATATCTCAGGTGTTCTGCTTTGACGTGGCTGGCCCGAATCCCCGCCAATGGTCAGTGTGCTCTGCTGTGCCTTTTCCCTTCAAAGGCATGGCTTTAGTGTTGGACTCGGGGCTGGATGATAATTGTAGTAAGATAGTGTTTGGCTATGAAGACGTCCCCGGACATGGTGATGACATAGTAGCCTACATGATGTTCAACGATAATGAAAATGGTTATTATTCTTGGTTTCCCATCGCCCCTCTAAATCTGCTCACAGAGTTCAGTAAATTAGTATTAGTTGGTGGACCAGATGACACGTTTAGTTTTGTCCATCAAGGAGGTGGAAAAGTCTGCTTTGCTGGTTCCTGTTTCACCCCAAGCTTGAATCCTCCTGTTAGTTTGGAGGAGGACATGAATCTTATTGTCGTGACATTCGAATTTTCCATTTCCGATAAGGATAGTAATTCAGCAAGAATCTTGGCAGTCAAAACCTTGGGTTCTTGCATCTTTCCTTTGGATTTTGCTTCAGAAGAGGGTAAGCGATGCCAGGCCAAACTGCTCGGTTGCTTTGTGCGCTAATTAAATAAGCTGCTCCTGCTGCAATGGAATGCAATCAAAACATTGAATCCAATCGAAACCCGCAAACACACAAGTAAAAGGGATCAAAAGAAAAAAAATATATATATAAAGAAGAAATGACAACCCTATTAATCAATGAGAAATAGAATTTTTGGATTGAAGAGACAATTAAGAAGAATTTGGGGGGAGAAAGGAGACGCTTGGAGAGAAAGGAAGAATAAGTTTGGCGTTTCTTTAGGAAATAATTTTGTTTTTTAATTGAAGTTTTTTCTGGGAAGATATGTAAATGAGATGATTTGGGGTTTTGCTTTAAAGAAAATGTGTCAACTTTGAATCCTTTGGATTAAAATATTTAAATATTGTGGTGTATGAAGAAGGAAAGTCAAGCAAATCATAACAAAAAGAAATCTAAGCAGAGGATCCGGATCCGAACGGGTAACCCACTATTTGATTCATATATATTATTTTTATTATTTTCAATTGTTTTACCCTTAAACCAACGATAATCGAACTTAACCCCTCGAGCTAAAAGAAAATTAGCTAATTTAGCACCCGAATTTATGAAAACATCCAATTTAGCCCTTATCATCAATTTTTTTTTAAATTTCATCCACTTTTCCGTCCAAAAAATCACATGTCCTTCATGTGACTTACTATTTGAATTATTATTATTATTATTAAAAACTAAAGTATTTAGAAAAGAAAAAAAAGAAACTAAAAAATGGGTAAAGCACGTAGGCACAAGTAAAAGCATCTATCAACTACATATGGGGTGGCACTAGAGTGGAAAAATAGGCCAAATTCTCTTCTCCCCTTCCCTTGAAAGTACACCTGGTTTCGATTCACGTATAAGACAATTTTGAGGAAACCCAATATAATACTCCCCCCCTTCCCCTCCCCATCCAATTTAAAAATAAAATAAAAAATCTATCAACTCCAATCACCACCGAAAATGGATAGAGCACATAGCCACAAGTAAAAGAGGAAATCCAGCAAGAATGCAAAACACAAAATAGCTTCTGGTTGGTGGATTAATGCGAATGACTAATCTATTACACTATGCAAATTAGGAAAGATTATGAAATTAAAAGAAGAATAATAATTTATCGAAATTTACATTTACTTTTTTTTTTTGGTTGGATTTTTTTAAAAATAACTTAACAATTAGAAGAGTGCAAAAAAGGTAAGAATAGTAAATAATTAAAAGGAAAGGAAAATAGAGTGCAAAAAAGGTTAGAATCGAAACTAGTTGCCCAAAATACATTTATTAAAGCGAAGCGTGTATCCTTGGTGGAGCGGAGCTCATACGCAAACAGAAGAAATAGGAAAACCAAGAGCTAATAGAATAGATCAGTGAACTCCAAAAAGAAAATAAAAAATGGAGAGGAGGCTCCGAGAGATGGGAATTCCGGAGGGGGCGGCGGTGGCGGATGATACTGGTACCAACAGTAAGTCTCTATATATATGTACCTACAAGTGCAATAGCAGGAGTTTTCATGCTCGTTATGATATCTCCGCCATCGGATTGAGCGATTTATCATCCATACTCAAATCCAAATCCCAATTAAAGATTGACAAATTAGAGTTGCTGCGAAAACTGGCTTCTGTGGAGGGCAAGGATGTTCCCTACGATATGGGTTGCTGTTTGTTCGGCTCCCAAATTCTTCTTGCCGGCGGCCGGAAACCGGAAGACCCGGAGCAGGACGATACGTCTCTATACGAACTAGATGCGGGCACACAAATTTATCTGTTTGAGGCAGATGACAATGAGAAAACAAAGGCCAAAGTTTACAATCAAGGCAACCGTTTTGGATCTTTTCCTCCTCCTCACAGTCACAGTCATAGTCACGGTGGGGGAATCATCAAGGGGGACTGCTGCTACGGTGAACTTCATCAAGGGAAACCTCAACCATTGGTGGTTGAGGTTGCTGGGAAGCTGTTTGTTCTCTCTGGTGGTCCGGTAGATTTCCCTAGTCCAGCTTTTGAGGAGTTTAACTCGAATAAGGGGACTTGGACCACTCTGCCGGACCCTCCGCCGTATACTGGTGACTGTCGTAACTTCTCTTATGCAATCGTGGGCACCAAGATCATGGTCTCCACCCCAATATCTTCGGTGTTCTGCTTTGACGCCGATGCCCCGAATCCTGGCCAATGGTCGGTGTGCTGTGCTGAGCCTTTTCCCTTCGAAGGTAGGGCTTTAGTGTTGGACTTGGAGGAGGATGATAATCGTAATAAGATAGTGTTTGGCTATGAACACATCCCTGGACATGGCTATGATGTAGTAGCCTACACCATGTTCAACGATGATGAAAATGGTTATTGTTATTGTCATCGCATCACCCCTCTACATCTGCTGACAGAGTTCAGTGAATTAGTTTTTGGAACAGATAACACGTTTAGTTTTGTCCATCTAGGAGGTGGAAAAGTCTGCTTTGTTATTGCCTATTCCATGGCAAGCTTTGAAGGTGATGATGATTATCCTATTCTTGGGGAGGAGGAAGTGGATCTTATTGTCGTGACATTCGAATTTTCCATTTCCAAGAAGGATGGTAATTCTACAAGATTCTTCTCAACCAAAACTTTGGGTTCGTGTATCTTTCCTTTCGATTTTGCTTCAGAATCTGGTAGCGTCTTCGAGGCCAAACTACTCGGTTGCTTTGTGCGCTAATATGCAATGCAACTTCTTTCCTTTCCTTCAGTAATCTCTCTGGCTGACTCATTTCTATTTATTTATATTAATTTTGTGGCTAAGTATTTTCTTGCTAGGATCTCTGGTTTAAGGGTGAATGCTCTTAACCACTAGAGTTTCACGCATGGTGGTGCTTATGGTTAGCGTTCAATTTAAACTTTTGGCACTAAAGAAGTGCTGAGTAGTCAGCACACCAAAAACTTTTCACATCCAAACCTCAATTTGCAAACTAATACTTTCATTACTCAACACATCCTAACATATTCATGAGACACCTCTGATTATTTTTTTTAAAATAAATTTCTTTAAACTTAAAAAAAATCAAATCAAATCAAATCAAATCAAATGAAGATCAAATATCATCGAGGCAAATCATCTCTAGTGTTAACATGAGGCGACTTTTAGTCTTTTGTATTTGATAGCCTTTCGAAAAACCCAAAAATTTTGATTTGATTTTGGTTAGATGAAAAACTTAGTTGAACAACCAAACTGCACTGCTAATATTCTTCAGCATTCTATCAACGAACTACTTCCAATTCAATAACTTTGGAAGTTCCTCCATATAACAAACAAATAATAAAGAGAGTACATGATTGCGACACACCTTGGAAGTTCCTCTTGGGATTTTTCACAAAACTGTCCCTATTTGGCTTTTACATTGAACTCTTTGGCAGGGAAATTCTCTGTCTATTGCAAATCGCCTAAGCTTCATGCATGTACATAAGTTCTATCAACATCCTATGCATATTCCTCAGCATTGTATTAACTAATAGTTAAACTTTTGACATATAGATAAGCCAAAACTAACCCAACCTTCCCATTCCACAGAATCCATTTCTTGATTTTCATCTTGCCATGTCTCGAAGGCATCGCTGCTGCGCCTGCTCCTTCTGCGTGTTCTACAACATCGTCCTCTGCTTCCTCCTGTCCCTCCTCATATTCTGGTTGATCTTCCTTCCCAAAGAGCCCAAATTCATAGTCACAAATGCCTCTCTCACGCAATTTGATTTCTCCACCACTAACAACACTCTCTTCTACAACCTTGCCCTCAACATCACCATCCGAAACCCCAACAGAAGGGTTGGCATATACTACAACCGCATCAAAGCCATTGCTAACTACAGAAAGAACAGGTTTGCTTTGGTCACGTTGACTTCGACGCCATTTTACCAAGGCCATAAGAACACCATCACTTTACAACAAGTCCTTGTTGAAGGGCAGCAGGTTGTGGTGTTTGGAGAACATGACATTTCCAAGTTTAACATGGAGACAGCTGCTGGTGTTTACAGCATTGATGTGCAGCTTGCTGTTAAGGTTCGAGTCAGGTTTGGAAAATTTAAGACAGGCTATTACACGCCATCAGGGAACATCAACTGCAAGCTGAAGGTTCCTTTGAGTCTTAAACAAACCTCTGCTGGTGGTTTCGAGACTACAAAATGTGGGAATGTTAATATCTTCTCGGATCCTGATCGTGCAGGCTAACTCTGTTTTCAGTTTTGTTATCCCCGATTGTAAAAGTGCTTGATTGTGGCCATATTTTTACTATTGTGCTTAGCTAATATAAAACCATTCAATTACCCAAAGTGTTGTTTGAATTCACGCTAAAAAATAACTAGGATTTTTTATGACAGGAGAGATGGGTTCGTTACTAAAACCTCTTAGTGGCAGAAAGCACTTTATTTTAAGTACGGCTGAAGGCATGCCCAAAGAGAAGATGGATATGCATTTTACACATCATTAATTGGTAATAAGAAAACACAAATTCGTATTTTTTTGGTAATTAATCTTATTAGTTAAATAAGAAAATATTAATAGTTTGTTGTGATTGCAATCTTGTATTATTTACAATGGCTCACACGTAGAAATCAACTTGAGGATTGATTCATATATCAAACTTCAATGTCGGAGCATCTTATGTTGCCAATGTGGTACTGTCACACCAAATAATTTCTCACATCGATGGTATGCCTTTTGGAAAATGTTATGCAACCCCAAGGGGCCAAAATCATTTTATCGATTCCTTATTCCATTATTAGTGGTCACCACTAACTCTCAAATCTCAGTCTCTCATACCTTCCCTCTCATCTCATCCCCCCTTCATCCATCATTTTTGACGGCTACTAAAAGCTTCCCCCAAAAGTAATGAGTTAAAAACAAACAAGGAAGATGAGTTGGAAACTACCAGCAACTACTTGTATTGAACAACTTTGGAAGCGCCTCCTCTTGGCCGAAAGGATGCTTTGGAAGTTCGTCTTGATATTTCCAACAAAGCCAATTGCTAAATATGCATATATATTCTGTCAAAATTTGTCAGCATTCTATTAACTAGCTAGTAATTAAGCTTGTATATATACAAGTTAAAACCTCAGAGGGAAATCCATTCTCTCGTATCGTTTTTCTTTTCATTGCTCAGCCAATGACTCCAAGGTTTGGTGCCCGCTGCCTCTTCTGCTTCTGCAACACCACCCTCTGCCTCCTCCTAGCCCTTTTCATATTCTGGTTGATCTTCCTTCCCAAGGAGCCCAAATTCACCGTCTCCAATGCCTCACTGACCCAATTCAATTTCAACAATAACACTCTCTACTACAACCTTGCGCTCAACATCACCATCCAAAACCCCAACAAAAGGGTTGGCATATACTACCTTCACATCCAAGTCATTGCTAACTACAGAAAGGAGAGGTTTTCAATGGTTAATTTGACTTCGCCGCCATTTTACCAAGGCCACAAGAACACAACCTTTTTGCATGATGTACTTGTTGAAGGGCAGCAGTCGGTGGAATTTGGGGAACATGAACTTTCTCAGTTTAACTCGGAGACTGCTGCTGGCGTTTACAACATTGATGTGAAGCTAGCTCTGTGGGTAAGAGCCAGGTATGGAAAGTTCAAGACAGCTGATTATGGGTCTAGCAAGATCGACTGCAAGCTGAAGGTTCCTTTGAGTTTTAGTGAAACACCTGCAACTGATTTCAATACCACAAAGTGCGGCAATGTTTATGTCCTCACAAATCCTTGAGACTAGCCAGGGATTTGAGTTTTATGGTCCAAAAGAATATGACCCTTTTTTAACACACTGATAAAAATAAATAATAAAAAGACAATGTAATTGAAGAAATTAAAATTCAGAGAGGAAGCCATGAAGCCTCAAGCTCTCTAAGTTCAGAGAGGAATACTCATTGCTGATGGGGCAGTTGATGAATCGTCGGGAGTTCATGGGATTGGGGATTTTGTTCGAAATTAATATGGTAAGCTGATAGGTGCCCTTGCTAAGCTGGTCTTAGGTAATTGATATCTTTTGGCTACTATTCAGCTACTAGTAGTCCAAGAGCAGGTTTCAATTTCCTTTTCAACCCTTTTTTCAAAAAGAAATAGTATCGCCATGCGGCTATACATAACGTTCTAATTTTTAAAAGAAATAGTATAGCCGACCGGCTATACTATATCGCCATGCGGCTATACTCTGTTTTAACGTCCTAATTTTTAAAAGAAATAGTATAGCCAAGCGGCTATACTCGATTTTTTTCCTAATTTTTGAGTAAGCAAACGTACAATACTTGTCTTGCATATGTACATACGTATTTTTCATATATAATACACGTATACTTTCATAAATTTTTCAATAATACACACAAAATTCACATATTATACACATAAATCTCACATATTATTGAAATTAAAATATCATATAGTGGCCGAATTTTTAAGTTGTTATTTGACAAAATTTTGGAGAATAAAACAATTACGTATTCTATTCGTACAGCTGCGCAGCAATAAGAAATCAATAACTATAAAGTATAAGCTAATGCAACTAGGAGGGTCCTTCTTTTTTTTTTTTTTTTATTATTAAATAGTATAGCCGCTCGGCTATACTAGGCGTTTTAATTTTTTTTTAAAAGAAATAGTGTAGCCGCACGGCTATTAGTTTAACATTTTGACTCCAGTTAACATCCTGCCTTTATTGTTTCCAGATAAATTCTTGTATGGTTCTCAAGTTGCAATGTGTCCAAGGGACTAGCTGCTCCTTCTGAACCAAGTGACCACTCACTCGCTATGAACAAGTGATGTTTGCCATACATCTGCTCTCTCAATCTCAGTCTCTCATACCTTCTCTTTCATCTCATCCCTTCATCCATCATTCTAATTAGCTTCCACCATAAGTTAATGGGTACAAAGAAAAACTCAAATAAATAAATAAAAGGTCGAGCCATTGGAAACTGCCAGGAACGACGTTCATTGAATTACTTTGGAAGTTCCTCTTGGGATTTCAAACAAAACACTCCTTAACTTGGCCTTGACATTGAAATTTTTGTCTGTACATTTGTCAGCATTCTATACACTAGAAATTGAAGCTTTTTCATATATACATATAAGTGTCGAAGAAAATGTTCTCTTGTCGTATTGTCCAAAGATCATCAGGTTAAATCTGACCTAAATGTGGTCAAGATTCATAATCTGATTGCGTGGTATATATCTTGTCGTTCGTAGAATCCGTACCTCAGAGGCGACTCCATCTCTCATACAAATATTCTTGCCTTTTTTTTTTCTCACCCATGTCTGGAAGGGATGGGAACCGTGGCCATCATGTTGTACATCTATCAACCCCAACAACCCAAAATCATTGTGACCAATGCCTCTCTCACACATTTCAATTTCACCAACACCAGCAACGCACTCTGCTACAACCTCACACTCAACGTCGCCATCAAACAAATGGGTTGGCATACACTACTGTGCCATCCAAGTCATTGCCAACTATAGAAAGAAGACATTTGCTTTGGTAAATTTGGCTTCGCCACCATTTTACCGAGGCCACAAGAACACCACCATTTTGCAGCATGTACTTGTTGAAGGGCAGCAGTTGATGGAATCTGGGGAACGTTAGCTTTCTCAGTTTAACTCGGAGACTGCTGCAGGGGTTTACAGTATTGATGTGAAGCTTGCTCTTAGAGTGAGAGCAAGGTACGCCACGTACACATCGGGCAATTATGAGTCTGACAAGATCAATTGCAAGCTGAAGGTTCCTTTGAGTTTTAATGAAGCATCTGCGAGTGGTTTCAATGCCCAAAGTGTGGGAATGTTTATGTCTTTCTTTGAGATTTATGGTCCAAAAAAATATGAACCTTTTTTAACATACGCATAGAAACAAATTCTAAAAAAATATAAGCAAAAGAAAAACAAAGACAAAAGTACTTGAAGATCATATAGCTCATGTGTCAACTTATGCCAACAATTCAGGTGAGATTTTCGATTGTGCAGCAAGACTTTTCTGGTTGTATTGCATAACAGTGCGAAACTTTTCTTAGTGGACTGTTAAATGTAACGCAGATATGGAAAGATGGGGAGTTTAAAGCAGAAGTGATTGGGGGACATAAAGCCTGGCTTGTAATTGATGAAGTGAGAGAAGTGATCCAAAAAGTTGTGTGATGCTTTTGGTTTCCCTATTTCTTGTATTATTATTTTTTTCCTTCTTCTGCTAGGCCTCTATTCTTGTAATCTCTTGTAACCGCAGTATAGGATGAAGAACACAATCTGTACAGTCAAATATCTTTCTATCTTTGCTTTCTTAGATGTCTTTGTTAAGAAGATGCACTCCAGTTTTGTGCTCAATTTTCTAATCTTTGCAGCCCTAAGAATGGTTATAAAAAACTTGTACGGGGCAGACCTATTGCACCTGCCCCTCCCTAAGACCTACAGGAATTTATAGGTTTTTGCCTTGAGGTCGTTTCATAAGAATGGCCTCATTTTCATTGATGACAGAGCTTGGAAACAATTATTTTGCAGAACTAGTAATTAGCATGACAAGCACAATAAATGGAAGAATAAAATGGGATCAAAGCCCGGAATTTGCATCATAATATTGTCAAGGAAAATATGTCAAGTGTCAACATGCTTCAAGCAACAGACTTTAGATACAAAGGCCAACTATATGTCAAACTGGTAAGGCTTTAGTTTTGAGTTGATCACTTGATAAAGAAAAAAAGTGGTATGGCTTTCACTACCTTCAAATTCTCAAAATGAAGCGATTCCGACAATCACTTCAAATGATCCATCAACTTCATGTTTTTTGAAGTAACAGATAGTATGGACTTTCGAAAGATCCATGAGTGCAAGCTTTAAAGCTCAAGGGGCCTGTCATGATACAAATATGAAACGTGGGTCAGTCAAAGGTATGAGAATCCATAAATATCAAGAAGCAGCCAATTCAAACCAAGAACATAGGTGCTGTTATCAAACCCCAGCTGACAATAAGTGTACGTAAGGGAAAAAACCAAGTCAGAAACAAAAGAAATTTCATGAAAATAGGTTTCAGATTTCATGTCCCTAATCCCAACTCTAATTCCAGTCTGTCTGATAACATATCATCCAACCTGACATCATCATCTAGGATACGCTTTCTTGTTACTTAGCACTTCAAATCACTAATGAATCTTACTGTTAGTAGCAGGATATTGAAATCAGAGGGCTAAAAGCCTACAACAAAGCCCTCAGGTGGGCAGTTCCAGACGCACACAGCATTATAGACAGCGTTCTGCTTTACAGCGATGATAACCCAAGGCAGCAGATAGCATATCATTCAAATTTCAAACCCGCCCGCAACCGCAACCCACCGTTTTATAAAACTAGTGCCATAACAAGGCCTTCAAGTTTTCAACCGTATGTTCTAAAACTGATCTAGGCAGGAGTTCAGAAATTATCCCTCTAGTACTCTTGCCTAATTACTAATTGTGAATGAAATGCTAGGAAGTTAAAACAAGATAACTACCAAGTATATGTTGATTTACTCACAATGAAACCTAAATTGCTACCATTATGATATAAGAATTTCTCAAACAATCAAGATTGAAACTTCTAAACGAGCACACACGCATTATGATGTAAGGGTCATATCAACAGAGTCATTTTATCAAACAGCTAGTAGGCGAGCTTTTTACATGCATTAAATTGGAAGACAAAAGATTCCATACTAAAAACTCAGCCTCTGAACCATAAAATACAACATAAATATGCTTTTAATTTAGAAAACTACATTGAATTCAAACTTTTACTCACCCCGGAAGATCAAAGACAGGGCCACCGAACCATCAGAGCCTTCAAATGCAAAATGTTTATAGCGCCCAAAGCCCTCTGTAACTGCAGTGAACTACGCCTTTGGCCCTTGGGATTGTGAGTAAACACCATGGAGAGCGCAAGAAAAAAAAAAAATCGCAGAAAAGAGCAAAAAAATTTGGACCATTTCTCGATTTATGCGTGTCATCCTTGCGCAGGGGCCATGCTAATCTTCTCTGTATCGTTCCAATTTTATCGGATGTCCCCGAAGGGACGAGCCTAAGTCTTAAGCGCCAGTATATAAAGAGCTCTAACAATAAGCAATTCTCCGATGTGGGACAAAGCTTCCTTGGTTTAATAGTCAAATGTTCAGTAGTTGGGCCTTTCTTTGCGATTCAATAATAAGCCCAATGGAGTTTCAATCTCAATCCCAGACGAGTTAGTTAACTAAGAACTCGTTTGAAGCAAACATTGTCTATGTAAATGGCTTACATAATGGTCTCATTTTGAAGCCTCCTTTGAGGCACTCTAATTGGAATTTTGTGGTGCTTTGTTTTTGGATATTCAAGTGTGGAAAAAACACACTTTTTAACAATTTTTTTTGTTTAAAAAAAAACCCTTAAATGAACTTCTTCACTTCTTCAAAACTTTTGCATTAAAATTTAGGTATGTTGAAGTTTGCCTATAAAATTACTTATTAGAAAACCTTAAGCCATAATCATTTTATTCTCCTCTTCATAAACTCCTTCCTTTATTAGTCCTTACAGTTGTAGCCACTCCCTCTCAAATCTCAGACTCTCATTTCTTCGCTCTCATCTCATCCCCTTCATCCACCATTTCAGATGCTACCAAGCTTCCACCAAAAGTTAATGGGTAAACAAAAAACAAAAATATTAAAAATAAAAGATAAGTAAAAAGTTTAGGCGTAGTTAGCATTTTTCCAAAATACTTCAATTTTCCTTGCACGTCTAAAAAAACTCGATAAAAGACATATTTTTAAAATCAAACATACAATACATGTATTATACACGTACGTACCTATTCTTCATGTTTAGTACAAAATTCACATATTAGACATGTATTTTTCATATATTATTAAAGAAAAATAATATATATTACAAATTGTAAATAAATTATATTAAAATATTATATAGTGGTCGTACTTCCGTATTTTACTAACTATTAGGGGCTGGAAACTACCTAGAAAAAAACTGCTTCCAATCAATAACTTTGGAAGTTCCCCCTAACCAAAAAACAAGAAGTAATCTTTGGAAGTTCCCCTTGGGATTTTCAACAAGACACTCTTCAATCCGGCTTTGACATTGTAACTTTTGTCAAAGCCATAATCTCTTCCAACTGCTAATCACCTAAATCTTAATGTACATACATACATTGTATCAATATATTGATTAAAAATCTTCATATAGGCAAAAGCCAAAACCACCTTGTTTTACATATAGCTTTCCATCTCTCGCACCATTTCTTGTTTTGTCTCAGCCATGTCTGGAGGGTGTGCCTGCTGCTTCTGCCTGCTCTGCAACACTTTCCTCTGCTTCACCCTAGCCTTCTTCATGTTCTGCTACATCTTGACTTCTGATGAGCCCAAATTCAGGGTCACCGATGCCTCTCTGACCCAATTCAATTTTAACAACACCGACAACAGCACTCTCCACTACAACCTTGCACTCAACATCACCATCAGAAACTCGAACAAGAAGGTTGGCATAGACTATCGTCGCATTCAAGTAATTGCTAACTATAGAAAGAAGACGTTTGCTATGATGAATTTGACTTCCGCACCATTTTACCAAGGCCATAAGAACACGACCACTTTGCATGCAGTTCTTGAAGGGCAGCAGTTGGTGGTGTTTGGGGAAAGTGACATTTCCCAATTTAACTCGGACACTACTGCCAGCATTTACAGTATTGATCTGCAGCTTGCTCTTCAGGTAAGAGCCAGGTACTTTAGTTCCAAGACAGCCGAATACCCGTCTAGCAAGATCGACTGCAAACTGCAGGTCCCTTTGAGTGATAATGAAACATCCCCAAGTGGTTTCAATGTAACAATGTGCTGGAATGTTCATATCTTGACAGATCATGGGGACTAACCATAGATTTGACATTTATAGTACTGTACTAGGAGCCTTTTTAACATACTCTTCCAAATATATATAAGTTTTTACTCATTTCACTCCTACGGAAGAGGCCTCCCTCAAACAGAAGTCCAGAATTCAGTGACTGAAGCTGGGGGATAGTAACACAGGGTTTTTCTTTGCTCAGGCTAATGTATGTAATGTGGTGTTCAGACCATTTGCTGCCCTCACCCTAGCACACTTTGTGTTGCGAGAGTGGCGTTTATTTTTGCATTTTTCATATTTGTTGGATTAGCATGTCTCCTTTCTTCTGGAATCTGAAATCTAATTTCATGGTGATTCTCACCTAACAAACAGGATGGAAAGATCTCAAAGTAGCCAAAATCACAAATTGGCGATACACCATCATCTTCCGCATTGATTAAAAATCGACCCTGCATCTAGTGTTAAGGTAGATGATAGAAAGTTTTAGGGTTGATCATCATCCCTAGAAGTTTAGCATATTGTTTAATGTGTTCATCCCATTTTACTTCCATGATTTTTGGTTTATTTTTACCTTCTTTTTCTTTTTTTTTTTTTTCTCACATGGACTAAGTTCGTCATCTTACAATCAGTTAAAAAAATCATGCCATTATAATTTTCAAGAAACAGGCTCCATTCTATCCGTTCAATTTTTGAAGTAAAGGAGTTTACCTGCTCAAGCAATCGGGAGACATAGCATACCAAACCCGCGACCCATATTCAGGAAGGTAGCCATATTGAGTACCATAAACAGCTTCAATCCAAATTATCCAAATAGTAACCACACTACAAAACAAAGACATGGTAAAATACAACAGAATTATCAAGGATAAAGACTACTAAATTCAAAATGGAGCACAAAACAATCTGTAATATTGAAATTTCCCTTTGAGTATTCTGAAAAACAATACAAGCCTGACATAAACTGACAAAATTAATTTTCAAAACAATCTGTAAATTTACATTTGCTCAGCACTCGTTAATCTTTATCCAGAAAATAAAGGGCATCCTTTTCAGACTTGTATGAGGACGATATGAATCCTCGTGAACTGCCATGTACCTTGTTGGACAATCATGCAGAGCCAAATTTGAACAGTCACCACAGCAGTCAGCAGGACTTCTATTCATACTCAAACTGAACCTCTACACGCATATATTTTCTCATCAGTCGGACAATGGATGAAGTGAAGCTTGCTAAAACTTGGCATTCTTCAGAGGATTTAACTTCTGAAACAACGCCGCAAATAACCAACTTCTTCAAATTAGGGCATCTTTCTAGAAGTCCGGCTACCCAGTCAGAGAAAAGGTCACTGATTATAGTCCACCCAAGTTCTAACACAACCACGTTCTCCAAAGGTGATGTCCCCTGCAAGCCACAGACATCTCTTAAATCATAACTTAGTGATAGGTGACTTAACCGAGGGAAGCAAACAGAAACAGTCTCCAAATCCACGACCTCATCCTCATCATCAAATACAACACCCCAGAGCCGAAGCCTCTTTAAATTTGATGATTTTGAGATCATGTTATAGAACTTTGGCCACATAATCGTAAAGCTGCTAACATCCACAATCTGAAGATTCTCTGTGTTCTCACCAATATCTAGATGGAGGACACTAACATCGTCAATCTTCAGAACCCTCAATGAACCCTTACCAATAAGCTCGAAAGCCTCAAGGGTACAATCTTTCAGGTGCAGATTCTCAATGCCATCAGCCTCCAATATGAACTTGTCTAAACTGACAGCTTCCACATAGATATCTTTCAATGAAGAGCTGTTAAGTTCCATAATTGCCTGTGCATCCGACATGGCAATATCAGGATTAATAAGGGTCAAATTCTGAAGTTTTGGACATGCGGTGAGCAAAAGGCTCAAATCCAATGCTGATATACTGACATAACTTAGGGAAAGTGACTTCAAACATGGAAATTTCTGATAACTGGGTTCAACACCTGTTACAGAGTTATGAGCCAACGACAATACTTCAAGCTTCTGCCGACTGCATTTCTCAATGATATTGACATTCGGGGTTGTCCTCACATTATAATGTAGTTGCCGCAAGGTATCCCGGGTATACATGAGCCAAGCTATCACTGGGGCAGCTGAAAATTCATCTACATCGTCCATAAAAATTGATAAACACTGCAATGCTGTGGTTTGGAATATTGTTTGAGTTATAAGAATTTCCAACCTACTTGGTGCCAGATCATGATATACAGTCCAATCGTTGGAATTGAAAGAAAGAGTATGGAGGTGATTCCGCCAAGCCTCTCTCCATTTCTTGCAAGTTGCGGATGCAATTACCACGTCTCGGGCAGCTTTAAGCCGGGATAATATGTTACCTATGACTTCAACTGGAAGGTGCTCCATACCCAATAAGAAGAAGCCTTAGATGTAGACCTAGGGAAGCTCTTGTTTTCAAAATGCAATAAAGCCCATGAAAATTAAGAACCCAGCTCTAAAGAAATCCACACCGTACAGTTAAGCATCCAGAACTGTTAAGCCTATCTGCGTTTCTCACAAAAGATCAGAAAATCAAGATCCATCATTGCCAAATACCAATCTGCTATCTTTTCCAGATAATTCACAATGCCATCTAAAAATTTAAAAAGAAAAAAACCCCAGATCAATATTTCGGACTTTCAATATTCAATCAGTGATTCTCAGTACAATCAGCATGGCAGGCAGAGACAGCTAGTAGAATTTTGAAAAAGTCCAGTATTTTGGGCATTGAAAACAAGTCAACAATTTCAAAAGTTGGCAGATTTTGGACCGGATCAACATTCAATCCAGAGAAACCATGGAAACAAACTCAATAAGATAGCCCAATTCAAATCTTCAAACGAATTTCAACTGCTTAGCATAAATCTACTTCCCCAAGCAATAAAAATCAATAAAAATAAAATAAAAGAGAAACAATCGTAATAGAAAGATAATCAAAGGATGAGACAGAGAGAAAATCAGGGATGGCTTACCTGGAAGGCCAGGACAACCATGCTCTCGAAGCAAACCAAAATCCAAAAGTTCCAACTATCAATCCTTATCCCCATAATCAGAGAAAGAGAATGAATTGGAATGTGGAATTTATTAATTCTGGAAAAGAATGAATATGAAGAACCCAGCCGCTTGGTCTAAAAGACGAGACCGTGAAGAAGAAAAGTGTGCGATGAGAATAGGGGAAGAAAGTCTTCTTCTAACATTGTGTGGAAAGTGTATAGTCTTGTGCACGTGAGAAAGACCCCCCTACGTCTGCACTAGCAGTTGGCAAATAGGCAAAACCTCCCTCCAACTACTTTTTTAGGCCATTTCTCACTATACATTACAACCCATTTCCTTTCCTAAACGTTTCTTCAAATCTTCTTTAGATAAGGTGGATCCTACATATAACATGTATCCTACCTCACCTTCAAGA